CAGTGTGCTGAACAGAAAACATCTGGTCACTTGATTGATTGAACTTTAATAAAGTCAGTGGGATAAACAGCCAGTGTTCCTGTACAGGTTCGTTCATAGCAACATGTTTTCGTTCTTTAACGTTAACATTCACAGTCAGAGTTTTTATTTCACATTATTACGTCACATTTTGTTGTTTTATGAGCGTGCTGTTACTCTGTTTGATGGCAGTTCATTCTATTTCTGGCTGTTTTATTCCTTTATTGTCTTCTTTACTGGGTTTTATTCTTCTTACATATTTTTATATTTTATTCTCTTTCACTTGCTTTTTACTTCTTTTAATGTCCTTATTTGTTCTTTTCCTTATACTTTTCTTTGAATCTGTGCAGCACTTTGCAACCCTGTTTTGAAAAGTGCTATATAAATAAAGTTTATTATTATTATTTTCTTAATATTCTGTTTTATTTTCACATTTTTTACCTGGTGTAAGTTGGAAAATTGCGTTTTTATGTGTAAACTGCTGCTGCAACAGGTCGATCAAGGACTCCATCATTCAAAAGCAGAAAATGGTAAAACTATCCATCTCCAAGCTGTACTTCAGAGCAGGAGACGTTCAGTGCAGCCCATCGGAGCGCCGCTCCACAGCTACCCAGAATAAAGAGTTTCTCTGTTGGAATAAAACTCCTCAGATGTGTGAGAAACTCATAAATCAATGAGATGCTGTTGAAGATGATGTCATGTTAAACCATATATGTTACATTCTCCTGCTGTTTCAGGTCAACGTGCCTTTTGTTCTGAACATCACATCATGTATCAGAACCAGTGCTGGGCCTTTTGTACTGACTGACTGGATCCTGTTCAAGGGAATTTGCGATATTTTAAATCCTTCATTCACTTTATCCTGGTTCAGCCACATGTGGACCTGGTGTTACGCAACATGAGCCAACCCTGACCCAGCGCTCCTGGAACCAGTCGGACCATCAGGAGGTGAACCAGCAGCATTCCGGTGCTGCAGCCTGAGCTGTGATTGGACCAACCCGTCCTGTGATGAGCTGCAGGCTGCACTGCGCCTCCTGCAGCAGCTGCACCACTGCCGCTGTTCTGACGCACTGTCGCTTTAAGAAGCCTTCTGGTGCGCAGAGGCGCTACAGCAGCGCATCACATGACGCTTCTCTTGTGACAATCCAGACAGAAAGGAAAAGCCTTTCTGACTTCCAGCTGAGTTGTCGGACGCGGCGACACGCGTTGTTTTGGTGCCAAAGGACCAAGTTGAAGGAGGGCCATGGAGCTGAGTTAACCATTACCAGCAGCACCGCGCCATTCCGGCCTCTGAAGTGAACGTTTGGTGAACATTTGGGTTGTTGCGCCACCGGGGACAAAGTTGGCGCATGGAGAGGGACGAAGTTTCCTTTTTGCGCAGCGTGTTTTCTTTGTTTTTCGTCGCCACTGCGTGTCAGCGAACGTCGCACAGCTTTTTAACGGCACCGAGAGCCGAGTAGTTTAGTTTGGACCCTGTGCGTTGCGGAAGACTTCAGGCAGAGACAAGTTGAGGACGTCGGCTGAGATGGTGGACAGCAAGCCCCTGCTCCAGGACCGGCCGCCCGCCTACAACGCCGTCCCGGGCGCGTATGAGTCCGGCCCGCAGCCGCCGCAGCCGCAGCTCGGCTACGGAGCCATCCCGCCGGCGGCCCCTCCGCCGTACCCGTACCAAGGCGGCCAAGGCAAGTAGTCTGTCCGTTTTCCGCACATCGACCGGAGCGAAGCGCGTCGCTGCTGCCCACTTCCGTCTTCGTCTGAAGCGGAGCTGCAGGGCGCCGCGGCGCGCATCGCATCGTTCACATGTTCTCCACGGAGGGTTCGGCCTCCGGGGGAACATCTGAACCCACTCATCCCCATTCCTGAAGTTAAACCGTGAAAAGTCGTTAGTTTCGTTTATCAGGCGCTCCCTGACCGCGCATGCGCAGTCCGGCCACAGCGCTGTCTTATGCTGAGCATTTTTTTGCGTAAAGAAACAGGAGCAGGAAGAATTCCTCACAAACCCACAAATACACAAGAAGCCTGGCAGCCAGAGGAGCAGAGCATCAGCTGCTCACAGGAACAGAAGCGATGGTGGAGCTGAACGTTTGGCTCTTTGCAGGATTCCTGCTGCTCTCTGAGTTTCATGTGAAGCTCATCACCTGACTGAGGTTGTATAAGAGCTGCAGTGTCCAGGAAGTTGTGCTGTCGTGTAGTTTCCTGCTTGTTGAAACTTCTGTTTTGTCTCCAGTTACCAGATCGTATCAGAGCAGCTGCTGCTTATCAGTTCTGGAAAATCCATCAGTCAAAGTTCAGTGTGACACAAACCAGAGGCCTGAAAAGTCAACAGAGCTCCTCTGGTCACACATCTGGCCTCATTTGTCACCAGATAGGATCCAAACCAGATGATCAGCTGCTCATTACTGAACAGAACTTTAATGGTTAATGAGTTTGATCTTTGTCTGCATATGAGTTGTATACACACGATTACAGAATACGTTATAATAACGTTTTTATACGACTGCTTTCTACAGGCAGAGTTCACAACGTGCTCTGACGGATAAACTTGAACCAGGAAGACAACAGAGCAGAGAAAAGACCGAGAAAAGTGTAGAAACAGACTCAGACATGGTAAAATATGTTAAGTTTAAAACACAGGATTGAGGAGGAATTAATGGAATAAACACCAGAGCGGCCGGCGCAGAGCAAAGAGACCACGTCACATGTTTTAAAGAGTCTATAGAGGTGGGTTCATAAAGTGGTTTAAAGGGAGCAGCAGGCGGCTCATGGTGGAGCTGACGGGTCCTGATGGCCTCAGATGACAGACTTTGAACCAGCAGAAGGGCCACACCTGGAGCGGAGGCTGTAAACAGCTGATCTGGGTCAGCGCCTCAGCTCAGAGCCAGAACTGAGCTGTAAACGTGACCCACATCAACATAAAGCAGGTTTAAAACAAACAGGGATGACATCATCTGTCAGAACCAGGTGAAGCTTTAACTGGACCGCTGCACATAGAACAGCAGCAGATGGCTTCATATTGGACCAAAACTCGGTTTGATTGATTTGACGGAGGCAGACTTCACACTGAGCCTCTCTCTGTGTGTTTTAGGAAGTTCATCGGCCTGTTTTATGATCTACTTCCTCTTTCAAACCTGATTGTGATTTGTGTCTCTGCAGGATACCCGCCGGCCCAGATGAACCCAGCCGTGTCCCAGCAGCCCTACGCCGGGACCTACACCATCATCCAGCCGTCGGTGGTGGTGGTGGGAGGATGTCCGACCTGCAGGTGAGAACACACACCTGTTGGAGATAAAGTGACCTGAACACGGTGGCAGGTCAGAGCGTTGACCCGGTTCCTTAGAGGCTGATCTGTTCCTACGCTGATATAAGATTCAGCAGATGTGACTTTCAGTTTTGGGAGACGTTTCTCTGCGGTGAGTCAACGTCCTGTCAGTCAGATGGTTTCGCCCTCAGACATGTGACGAGGCCAAAGGTTTCTGAGCAGCAGAGGGAACGAGTCCGAACGACGAGCCGGACGGGTTTCAGTGCAGCGTTTACTGTCAGCAGTTCTGGGGATTTTTACATGAACTGAGAGTTTCCCAGGTTGTTGATGCGCTTGCGCAGTGGTTTTCTGTCAAACTTCCTGTAATGGGGTTATAAATAAACCGTGTTAAATGAGGTCAATCAGCTCATCAGCTAAAATTACACTGATTTGACTAAATACAGAATAAGAATCATTATTTCACTTTAATCCTCTGAAGCTGAAACAGACTGACAGACAACAACCGGACACCAGAACAGTCGTTGGGTTTTTAACTCTCCGATGGTCCTCATCATGCGTGATGTCGCGCTCTGGTGGGGATCTAAGCTTTACCATCCAAACCACTTTATTTTACAGTCGTCCTCAGATGTGTTCACAGCCTCCCATTAGAGAAGGAAACCAGCAGCTTCAGTCACTGGAACAAGTTGGACGTGACAAAAGT